TAATGACCTTTCAATCCACAATGGCCACAATTCCGTACCCCCGTTGCTTTCTTGTTAGAAGTCTCAACTCGGACTATCTGTTTCCCTTTGCGCTTCCTCCCCTTTGTACTAGCACCCTTCGGCGCACATTCCGAAATTAGCGTGTCTTTTCCAATTGCAGGAGAATGAGGATCCTCTTCAGTATCATTTGCCACTACTTCATCGACCACACGTCGAATCCTGCCATACTCAGCATAGAACTTGTAAAACTCCTCTGCTTCATCTCTGCTCTCAAAACACAGCTCTTCATTGGGCACAATTTCTTCTATCAACAAGGGATCCTGATTCACATTGAACAACAAGTTACAAGTTAAACCATGGAGGCCAGTATTTTGAATAACGCTAATACAAGTTAACTCACATGCATGTACGTTTTCTGCTGATCAGGCGTCACCATCGTCGTTGGAGAGACAGTCTGTAGCGGAGTCACTTCAGCAAGACTTGCAGGATTTGCTACCGGCGCCACAGGCTGAACTGGAGTCAGCACAGACGACGTCGATGCCTCTCCGGCTGCAGAGGACGACGGAGTGGGTGATCCATGGGTCAGCGGCATTACGAGACTCGTGGAACCTGAATCGTCAGCACTGAAAACAGAATGATGGACTAGTCACGCCCCGTCCAATTGCAGCAGCATTTAGACACGCGAGATGTTAGCACCAATAATATTGCATAAAGAGAATAAATGTCGGAGTGGCCGTTGCACTAGTGCCTTTTGCGTAAATGACGTATTGTGAACTGTAGGCGCTAACTGCGCGAGATCTACACGATACAGCCACTGCTTATTGGTTCATGCTTACTACATACAGTATATTTTTGTTACTGGTTACTAGATTTTTTTTATACTTAGTATAGATTTTTGTTATTGGTTACTAGAATTTTTTTATACTTAGTATCGACTGCACCCTTTCTCGTATACAATATTACGAGGTACCACACCTGTCGTGTATACTCGCTTGCACCCTTTCTCGTATACGATCTCCGTTCCAAATTATAAGTCACTTTGATTTTTTTGGTTCATCCAATTTACTATGTATCTAGACATGTTATTATATCTAAATACATAGCAAAATAAATATATTAAAAAAGTCAAAGCGACTTATAATTTTAAACAGAGCGAGTACCAGTTACTGGACAAAGCCTTCCAGTAGCGCTGATTTGGGATCATCATTTATTCACGTCTTTGCCGCATTGATGCTGTCGTCTCGTGTTCTATCGGCTGGCTCGAATTCTAATGTTACTACTTTTTGGTTGGCTCGCTCGGCAATTACTGGCTTCCGAAGCCGTGGCACCTGGGCTGGTCGGGATGGGCACAGGGTGGTGCGGCCAGGCACCCGGACACAGAATAACAAACTCTATAACCGGCTACAGAATATATATATATATATATATATATATATATATATATATATATATATATATATATATATATATATATATATATATATATATATATTTTGTACGATAAGTAAACGTACACTAATAAGCTTCCCTAGATGAGATGATGAAATCCCCAGCACTGGCTCATGTATGTAAAGACAAGGGATAGTATCCATGCACAACACGCTAGAGGTATGGATGAAAGGTTACTTTAGTTATTAGCAAAATAAAAGGCAATCTAACAAACCATGTCATTACGTTTAACTTACTTGCTCATAAAATAAAATAAAAAGAAACATGCTTTAGCCAACAAAAATAGGATGGAGCTTGACAACAAACCATGTATGCTTTTTGGAACTGCTCTGCTTCAGCTCCACGTTGCTAAACACACTCAGCTCCAAAACCTCTGGTCCAAGAAAAAAGTGGAGCTAGAGCACCTCAAGAGGTTTTTAGAGTTTTATATTCCCATGTGGAGTTACGAGGAAATTACCCAGCTTGTCACTCATTAATTACGGATTACTTTCCCCTCCCCTACGGTGCTCCTCTGCCGTGGCTGGCTGTGGACGGTGAGCTACTGTGGCGTCGACAAGTGGAAGAGGCTCCAGGGGGTGTGAAGGGACTTCGCCCGCGACAACGGGCTCCGGCTCGGGGACGCCTGCGTCTTCGAGCTCGTCGTGCCCACTAGTGCCGGTGCCAAAACTACTGAAGTTGCAGCTGCAACTGCACCTGACAGAAAGGAAAAGGACAGCAGCAGCAAGGACAAGAAGGGTAAGACGATGGAGGTGCACGGCTCTGTTCGGCAGGATTTATTGCTGCTGCGGCTGATTTGTAGAACTTATTTGTTGTGGGAGAAAAATACTATTGCATGACTGAAAAAGTATGACTAATTATGGCTTATAATCTGAAGCGAAGAGACCCGGTGTTCTGGGTGCAGGTGCTCCGCGGCGGCCTGCCGGAGGAGATCACCTCCGGGCGCGCCACCTCCGACGACCTACTCGTCATCTTGGGACTAGATCCAACTGCCAGTACTGGTCCGACAACCCACTCCAGGTGGTTCGATTAGAAGGATTAGTAATAGGACATCATTAGTGGTGCAGACGTGCAATGCAGTATGCAGTCTGCACATTCAGGAGCTAGTTAGCTTTTGGTAGCACAGTAGCAGTATCTGTTTGCCACTGCTCTAGCTCTGTGTCACTGTGTGCAATGCATTCTCGGCCTTTGTTTAATTTTCTATCATTTATAATTTATTTGACAATTATTTGTATTTGAATTATGGCCCTGTTAATTTTCTATCATTTGTTTTCTATTTTTCTCGAAAAATCTCAGCTGCAATTTCAATCAGGGGCATAATAGACTATTTGCATGGAAACAATCCATTCCTGTAGTTAGAGCTAGTCTTTGTGCCAAATAGTACCACCTACTCCACAAACATCACGACGAAGCTGTTTCATGGCGAAGTTCACAGAGCGGAGCTAGGAAAAACGAGATCAGAGCCGTCCCAAGCAACCCCCTTGACTCTCTCTTCCTCCGGTGGCTTTGGCTAGGCTTGAGACGTCAGTTTCTGTTTTGTGTCCCCCGTTAATTCACCCGGCTAATCTAATCCTCGGGCCCCGTTCCACTCACCGACAATACCACCCACTGCCCACGCCGAGAGGTGAGCGCCCACGGATTGGGGTCCGCAGTGTCAGTGACCCATGTGCGGCCCGCGTCACGATGCGAGGGGATAGCGAGCGGGCCTGTATATATATAATATAATTATTATATTATTAATTTTTTCGATAAAACGTGTCAAGCGCCTCACGTTTTCCTTAAATAGAGTTCACGTTTCCCACCACCTCGTCGCGTTCGCACCCCTCCGCACAGAGGAGTCGTTCCCGTGCACGCACGTCCGTTGCGTGGGCCAGCCAAACGCGGCTGAGCGTCGGGGACCACGGGTACCCGGTCCCACCCGTCGGCGAGCTTCGTAGGCGGCCGTGCCGGTGCGCCCCGCCCCGCCGCGCCTCGGGTCACGTGGCGTCACGAGCCCCCCCTGACCTGAATGTGAATGGCTTTCTCCTCTTCTCCTTGACCCTTCCGGCAGGGCCGTAGCACATGTGGCCTGCACGTGCAAGCTCACGCGGCGGAGCCTGGCTCGCTCGCTCCCGGCTACAGCCCGAGCCCAGCCGAGGGAAGCAGCAGTGGAGGGAGGAGGGGGGTCGCTTCCCGCGAAGCGCTCTCGGTCGCGGGAAGAAGAGAGTCACAGAGTGAAGCCGAGCCAGGCAGCCGACTGACGGCTGTCGGCTCTCAGCTGGAGCTCGGATCCGGTAGAAAAGGGGAGCCCCTTCCTCCTCCGCCCAAGGGCAGCAGCAGCCGCAGCCGCAGCACAGCGGCACGGCCCCGAGGTCAGGTCGCCCCCGAAATCCCCTCGCGCACCACACAAAATCCTCCAGCCACCTCCCCACCCCACCGCCGCCGGTGCGCTCTCTACGCTCACCGGACCTCCGATGGTCGACCACCTTCGAGCACGCGGTCGGGAACAGAGAGAGAGGGAGAGAGATCCGGGCCCCGCGGCTCGGATTTGCGCCCCTCTCCCGCCCGCCGCGCTGGATTCCGCGGCCTCCGCCTCGATCCCGCCGCAGGGCCCTCACTCTGGTGACCACGCCTCTCCTCTCCTCCTTCCCTTTCATTTAATTTCGTTGCCGCACCTCCCACTGCCTGTTCTGTTCGCTACTACAGTACTACTAGCCTGCCTGGCGATGCCCGGCTGCCCCCTGCCTCGTGTTCGGAATGCGATTGTGATTGCTCGCCGTGCTGCTGGGTTTGGTCGATGGCCCCCCGATGCGGCCGCGTGAAATGAGAGAGTGATTTGCGCTGTTGCCTACGGAGGGTTGGGGACTTGATGATTGGTCTCGAATCTGGTGGGCGTGATCGGAATCATCTCCCCGTGACCTTAGCATCAGCACACACTGTTCACGCCATGCTTCTTTTTAATTAGGGGTCAGATTTGGGTCGCTACAATTCGATCACGCACTCGCCTTCAACGCAGCCTGAGATAGTGTCGGGGTAGTTAAAAGATACAGCTGGCGGACGTCTCATGTTCTTTGACTCGGTTGTTATTACATATTTCCAATTTTCCATTTCATATGTCCCTGGTGGGAGTAATATACATACATATATTTTGTGTACTCTGCCCATATTCATACCATAGTGTGTGTGTGTCACCCTGGCCTCACATGCCAATCACATGTATCAACTGTCTGGGATTTCCAAGATCCCATTTTTCCTTAGTCTTCAATGGAACTTGCACTGGACAGTGCTGACTTGTTGAATCATCAACTACCTGTTTGGGGGAGTGGGGCTGTTCACAACCAAGTGTGCCTGCAAACTTTTTCTTACCACTTTGGACGCGGTTCAGTATGCCTTTGTAGCCAGATGGTGACTGCATACTGATTGTTTTATTATATTCACAAATATGATCAAATTTATTGCTTGTATCTGCCCAAAACTTGATATTCACAAATGCCGTATGCTTGCATTAGTTGCTTTTCTCAACTCCCTCGTGACTTCAATTTTGTCCATTCTGAGTAGGTATTATGGTCATGAAGATGGAGCTTGAGGACGATGGTGCCATGGGAGGAAGAGGAACTGGTGGCACGTGGACAGAGGAGGACCGAGCTCTCGGCGCTGCCGTGCTTGGAGCAGATGCCTTTGCATATTTAACGAAAGGAGGTGGTGCCATATCCGAGGGCCTTGTCGCTGCGTCTTTGCCGGATGACTTGCAGAACAAACTCCAGGAGCTTGTCGAATCCGAGAGCCCTGGCACTGGTTGGAACTATGCCATCTTCTGGCAGCTCTCGCGCACAAAGTCTGGTGATCTCGTCCTTGGATGGGGGGATGGCAGCTGCCGTGAGCCCCGAGATGGAGAGGTGGGAGGTGCTGCTTCTGCAGGCAGCGATGATACCAAGCAGAGGATGCGCAAACGTGTGCTGCAGCGGTTGCACATTGCATTCGGGGTTGCTGATGAGGAGGATTATGCCCCTGGTATTGATCAGGTTACAGATACTGAGATGTTCTTCCTAGCATCTATGTACTTTGCCTTTCCCCGTCGCGCTGGTGGCCCTGGCCAAACATTTGCAGCAGGCATCCCCCTCTGGGTTCCCAATAGTGAGCACAAGGTATTCCCGGCCAACTACTGTTACCGGGGGTTCCTCGCAAATGCGGCAGGATTTAGGACTATTGTTTTGGTGCCATTTGAGAGTGGTGTCCTTGAACTGGGCTCAATGCAGCACATAGCTGAGAGTTCTGATACTATCCAGACCATACGGTCTGTATTTGCAGGGACAAGTGGTAATAAGGCTGCAGTACAGAGACACGAGGGAAATGGTCCTGCTCCTCCTGAAAGGTCGCCTGGTTTGGCGAAGATTTTTGGGAAGGATTTGAACCTTGGCCGGCCTTCAGTTGGGCCGGCGGTTGGTGTATCTAAGGTAGATGAAAGGACATGGGAGCAGAGGAGTGCTGCTGGTGGGACCTCATTGCTACCGAGTGTCCAGAAAGGATTGCAGAATTTCACTTGGAGTCAGGCTCGTGGCCTGAATTCTCATCAGCAGAAGTTTGGCAATGGTGTGTTGATTGTGAGCAATGAAGCTGCACACCGCAACAACAGAGCAGTGGACAGCCCTAGCGCAACACAGTTTCAGCTTCAAAAGGCGCCTCAGCTTCAGAAATTGCCGGTTGTTCAGAAAACACCACAGCTAGTGAACCAGCAGCCGATGCAGCCACAGGTACCTAGGCAAATTGACTTTAGCGCCGGGAGCAGTTCCAAGCCTGGTGTGTTGGTTACAAGGGCAGCAGCAGTCCTGGATGGGGAGAGTGCAGAGGTGGATGGCTTGTGCAAAGAGGAAGGGCCACCACCTGTTATAGAGGACCGACGGCCAAGGAAGAGGGGAAGAAAACCAGCAAATGGGAGGGAAGAACCACTTAATCATGTTGAGGCTGAGCGCCAGAGGAGGGAGAAGCTCAACCAGCGGTTCTATGCACTTAGGGCTGTTGTGCCAAACATATCGAAAATGGACAAGGCGTCCCTGCTGGGCGATGCGATAACGTACATCACTGACCTCCAGAAGAAGCTCAAAGAGATGGAGACAGAGAGAGAGAGGCTCTTGGAGTCCGGTATGGTGGACCAAAGGGAGCGGCCGCCTAGGCCAGAGGTGGACATCCAGGTGGTGCAGGACGAGGTTCTTGTTCGAGTGATGTCTCCAATGGATAACCATCCAGTCAAGAAGGTCTTCCAAGCGTTCGAAGAGGCAGAAGTCCGCGTAGGCGAGTCAAAGGTGACGGGCAACAACAACGGGACAGTGGTGCACTCTTTCATCATCAAGTGTCCTGGCACTGAGCAGCAAACGAGGGAGAAAGTGATAGCGGCAATGTCTCACGTGATGAGCAGTTGAGCAGAGCAGCGTAGGATCAGATTGGCACAGTAGAGAGGTGGCGGTTTATCCTGTTGGTTGCGAACAAGAGGCAGCAGCAGCAGCCCTTGACATTGTCGATAGGAGAGTTGTAGGTGGAGAGAAGCAAGATGAGATTCTTCTGACTTTAGCAATGCAACAACAAAATGGGGGCTCGACTTAAGCAGGCATTGTGCGGCAGGTTTCTTTTGGTTGGCCCGACCATGTAGTTTTGATGTTTTGTTTGGGATGGATGGATACCGTGTTCCTAGTGTAAGCTTGATGATGCAGCAGAACAATAAACAGCAGTACATGTTTTTCTTCTTCTTTTCATGCGTGATTGGAAATTAAATTTATTGCAAATTTTCTTTTGCTTTTTCCTTTTATGATGTGGATTAGCTTGATGGATGACAGAAGAATGTAATAAGCATGAGATGATTTCATGATTATAACATAACAGTGGAAAAAGGAAAGAAGAGATGTGCAAAGAACGAGACGCATGACCTGACCGTCTTTTTTATTTTTTGGATTGGAAATCGAACTCACATCTTTCATGTTCCTCCGAGATGATGAAACAAGCAAAGATGCAAAAAAAAAACCACATGCAGCAGAACTAACGAGTTAGACGTTTAGATCTCATTCTTATAGCAAGAATCTGGGTTCATATGCAGCAGGAGCGTAGGACTAACGAGTTGCTAGGAGCCAATTTGTTTGGATCTCATTCTTATTGCCAAAATCTAGATTTTAGATATTGAAATTTAGAAAAGATGGAGAGTGTTTAAAGTGCGTACCCAGTGCAGAGAGCTCCCGCTCTGTGCGGGGTCTGGTAAAGGGTGTCAATGGCAAGCCTTACCCTCGCCTGTGCAATACGAGAAGACCGCGACTCGAACCCGGGACCTTCCGATCACATGAGGTAAAACTCTACCGCTTACACCAAGCCCGCCCTTCTATAGTTATTATTACCTTTGTATAATGAAAATGTCCAAGCATTAGGTTTAGGGTAATTAGCTGAATTCTAGGGTCTCATTTTGAAATCCAAGTGTTTGGTCTTATTCTTAGCCCCTGTTCGTTTCGCTGAAATTTGGCTGATGCTGATTTGTTGTGAGAGAAAAATATTATTTTTTCACTGAAAAAATACTATGCTGAAATTTGGCTTATGCTGACTCTTATACTGAAATGTTGTGAGAGAAAAACACTGCTCCATGGTTGAAAAGTAGCTTAAGCGAACGGGGTGACTGCTAAACTAGTGCTGAAAAATAGAAGTGGAACCCACCTACGAAGTAATTGAGGAGATGAGCATATTGTATTTGACAATTAGAATGAGATGGATTTGCCTTCCCATGTTGCGTTGCTGGCCTATTTAATCGGCGAAAATTAACAAACAATTTTGATGGTGTCAAGGGAAGCTATACAATTTATAATAATCTACAGGGAATTTACTCTTTTAATAGATCATTCGAAAAAATAGATATATAGATTTTATTCTTTGCTCCAAATGTTATTCGATATATATGGCAGACGAGTGCGTCTTTCAGAATTGTACTCGGTTTTGTTTTTTTTAAAGGATTGTACTCGCCTACTGTACTTCGGTTTTAAAAAGAAAAAGAAAAAAAAAGATACAGTAGGAAAAAAAACGGGCGAGAGATCCCCAAATCCGGTCCAGGCCGCCGCAGTAAAGCATGGGCCTCATGGAGGTGGCGGAGGTCTCCTCTGGATCCGATTCCGGCTTGAGGAGCTCGGCGGGGACGGGGAGCTGCTCCTGTTTCCACGGGGAGGCGAAGCGGCCCCCCGTCGACGACGCGACGGTCAGGGACTGCGTCGAGACCACGAGGTAACATCGACGAGTTGTACAAGGAAGCGGCGCGCCGGCTGCCCCTCTTTAAGGAGATGCCCGAGCTGGACGCCTGCATGCACGCCGGCGGCCTCTGCTTCGGCCTCGCCAACCCCATCGCCAACATCATCCTAAACGCCGTCGGCCTGCTGCACCACCTCCACGACCAGGAAGAAGGGTTCCCGCCGCTGCCCACGCAGAGGCCGTTCGGGACACGGGGGTGCGCGGACATCGCCACCCGATCCCTCCTCGGCCTCCGCGGCTTCATGGCCGTCTACTTCCGCTACCTCGGCCACACCGACGGCTGCCGCTACCTCTACCTAGCCTCCCAGGACCTCCGCCTCGCCATCGCTCTCGTCCACCACGACCGCTTCTCCCCCCACTCCCAGTCCCAGCAGCGGCCTCTGCTCCCCGACGGTGGGAACCTCAGGGCCGCCCTCAGGGTCGCCGCGCTCGATGCGAATCACCCCTTTCCGGACGTCCTGGCGCGGTTCATGACGGCGCAGTACCCCTTCCGCCCTGCTCTATCCTGTCCTGGCCAAGCTGCAGGCGGCGGAGCAGCAGCTCACCACCCACCACGACATCTCTGAAATCAGGGACCTTCTGGCCCGCCAATGGCCGCCGACCACCCCGCCGGTCAACTTGGAGTTCTGGTGCCGGCCAAACGGTGCCAATTGCACCCTGCTGATTTCGACCTGTCGCCAAAATCTCAATAGCAAATGCAAATCACATTCCTGATTGTGATCGTCAACTCGGGCGGGTACATCTCCGACATCACATTCCAGCGTGAGGACATGGAGACCAAGCTATCCGACTGCCTCCACCGTGCACGCACATGTTTGTCTTGGAGATGTGCCTGCTCGAAACCATCCGCGCCCGCTACATATCAAGGCACTCACAGTGTTGCCCAGCAGCTCGCGCCTGCCTTCTTCGCGCTCACATTTGTCCACTTGTGACAACAGAATCCAGGTAGCCGCAACTGAACTCAACTATCTCCAGATTTCTAATTAGTTAAAAGCCTACTATTTTTCCAACTCAGTGACCCAGTTCAGTTCAAATTAAAGCCTACTAGTTTTTCTCAACATAAAAACCTACTAGTTTTGTTGACCGTAAATTATCTTATCATTGCAAGTACATTTCCGATATTGGTAATGCTTTGATTCGAGCGTCCGAGTACGAGTACCGGACGGATGCCGGATGCGGAGCGTGTGTTTAATATCCAGTCAATTCATCACTTGTTCATCTCCCAGTCTCTTACTCCGCTGCCCGCACTGCTCTTCCTGCCACTGCTCTACGCGCTCGCCCCGCTGCTTCGCGCGCCCGCCCGCTGCTTCTGCTCTTGCTCCGCGCACCCACCCTACTACTCCTGCCATTGCTCCTGCTACGCCACCTGCCCTGCCCGACGATGTCGACAGACGCCACCAGCGAAAGAAGAAGCGCGGGGCCTTGGCGCGGAGGCCCTCCGGCATCGCCTCCTGGTACGGCTGCAGCGCTCCGATGTAGACGGCGGAGGAGGCCGCACTGGAATATGATGCATGTTGCAAGTGTACATTTTAAATGTTTTAGAGGTATGTTTCAAGTGTTTTACACGGATGTTGTAAAAGTAGACCGGGATGCTGCATATGTTTCAATGGTTCTACACGTATGTTGCAAGTATCTATCCCCAATGTTTTATCTGTTTTTTCAGACGTATGTTGCAAGTGTGTTTATCTGGATATTGCATATGTTTCACACATATGTTGCAAGTGTTTTATCTGAATGTTACATATGTTTGCAATGATTTTCAATTGTTTTTGCAAGTGTTTTAAATACATGTTTCAAATGTTTCATATGTCTTTTTTGTGTGTTGCAAATGCTGCATCTGGATGTTTCAAAAGTAGATCAGGTACTGCACATGGGATGCGTGTGGGAAGCGGGAGGGGAGGCGGCGGCCCCGCGGACAACGTTCGGGCTACGCGGGCCCCCGCATGGGTGCGGGTGACAAAGGCGTGGTCGGTGACGTCGGGCCTGCGCGGGCCCACACATGGACGTGCGAAACGAAGGGGGGAAACCGACTGCAGCCGCGGGTATCCGGACGCGGGCGTACGACCGGACATCCGGCAGTGCCGTTCAGATATAGTTTGAACAAAATACTGTTCAGCTAAAATTATCTTGCCATTAACAAAGTAGCCTGCTACTATTGTTCATTTTGCTTGAGAGTAACAGCCTGCATGTACTGCTCATTTTGCTTAGCTTGACGTGAACATCCTGCATATATAGCCACTGAATTCACAGTTTGCTATCTTCATTTCTATAATTCTGCTTGTTCGGGCTCGATCCTGAATCAAGAAGACCATGTGGCTGCACTAAATATTATTTAACAAATACTAGATGACATGTGTCCAAGCATCATATGTATGAAGCATTTTTACCTCAAAAAAAGAGGAAAATTCATGGCCGATACTTCAACTTGGTGCGAGGTGTCATCTAGATCTCTCTACTCTTAAAATCATGTTATACACTAGGGATAATTCCGAGTGTTTTTGTAGAACACTCGGCAAATGAGAACTACCCAAAATCTGGTATTGAGCACTAAACTACTCCTGCCTAACAAACTAAGTACAGTTAATCTTTATAGCCCCCATGCTCAGCATTTACATGCTTTACTCGAGCATTTGGGAAGGCCTGCCTCAACTAATTTGGAACTACAAACTGTTCATAAACTTGCACAGTATAGTGCCTGCATCATCCTTACTCATATGCATATGGATGCAGCTATCAGCCTGTTCGTTTCGGCTGAAATGATCGTGGATTATAAGCCAGAAGTACTACTGGCTGGTTTGGTGTGAAAGAAAAATACTGTTGCAGCTTATAATGCACGATCGTATAAGCCGAAACGAACAGGCTGTATGTCCTCGTCCTGAATGTTTCCATTACTTAAGTATCACAAAATTCTGAGGTTGGGAACGTTTCTGATGCTGCAAAATTAGGCTGCAAAGTGCTAATTAGTAAGGACATATTAAAGTATAAAAGGTTTAGAAATATCCAAGAACTAATGTCCAACAAACTAAACTACCTGACCTCAATATCTTGATGAGTTGGTGATTACTGAGTACACTGTCACTTTACAGACAAACTGTGGAGAGATTTTAGGAATTCAGAATATATAAAACTTTGATTTGGCCTTCAAAGTTTTGGCAGGCAAGTGCAAGATTTAATGAAATATCTGCATTTGTTTTTGTAGTTATTAAACCCAGGGTCTTCCATGAAACTATAAAGTTTTTTTTTTGTTTTTTTTGGGCGACGAATGAAATTATAAAGTTCAAGCAATCAACTAGGTATCCTTGACGTAACTTGACGACTTACATGTCACAAATTGATGTTTCCGCCCAATCCTCCATCTCAAATATGCAGATTTTCTTCTGACGTAGGGAAGTTGATGATCCCTTGAATCAAACCCAACACATCTCAAATATGCAAATTGTTTCTTCTTGCCGTTGGATCGCTATCGAGCTTCCAAAACCCTTTGTGTGTTTTGCTGGTCGATTTGGCTGAGACGCGATTTCCTGGTCGAGCAGCTGATCGGCCGATGCCACTGCTATGATTCGCACGTGCTCGGGCACTGTTTGATCCGTCTGCCGCACGCTGGTCGGTCGATCCGGCGGACGGCATACAACTTCACCATTTGTCTAATAAATTACAGTGAAGAAATCATTCTCTGTTCACTTGAGCTTATTCAGAACTACTTTTCAGCTATGGAACAATATTTTTCTCTCATAGCATTTCAACATAAGCCAAATTTCAGCATAAGCGAACAGGGAATAGTCAAAAGACACTGTAAATGCATGAGGCAACAACCGAGTGCCAGGAATGGCCAAAACACTCGGTGCTGCCTAGACATATCCTTCTTTTCCCAAAAAAAGTAAGATATGCGCATGCGTGCGTGTTCGGTGGTACTGTACATTTTCCGCGCACTAAGAAGCTAGAGCCTCCCAATCTCTTACACACGTATGCGCAGGCGTGTGTGTACGTGCTTATGGTGTGAGTGTAGAGTATTTGTGTTGTGTGCATTCTGTTGTACCCTGTCAAAAAAGAGAGCAGAGTCGCAATCTTGCGCCAAAAAGATCAGAGCCACGCTAAAAAGAAAAAAAGGAGTAGTGCAACACGTTGTTATGGGAAACATGCCGTCTCTAGATGGAACGAGGGTCTGCTAGTTATTAGTAGCGCGTGGAGCATCTTGCCATTGGAAGGGAGCGGGCGGTCATATATGCGTGGCTGCAAGCATACGTCACCGATTTTGATCCTCTTCTTATTACATGGTCGGTTGTCGATCGGAGAGTTGTAGGTGGAGAGAAGCAAAATGAGAGCTGATCCATCACCAACCTCTGCTGCTAGAGTCAAAGAAGACACACAGAGTTGTTCGTCCAATTTGAAATGAGAACAACACGCGAAGGTAGGTGCCACTCCAGCGCCACTCGCCGTATGAATTCGGAGTCCACAGGCATGTGCTTTGGTTGTGTCAGACTAGGCTTGGGGTTGTGGCTCCTTTAGAGTTCTAGAACCAACGGCCAAGCCCATCTATCTCGATTCCCTATTCCGCACAGCACCGCACCGCATCTCTAGCTACCTCCAACTCCAATCCAGACGCATCCCACATTCCTGCTTCCTCGTCCTGCACTGGCACCACCCAGCACCTCCGCCTCCAGCTCAAAGCTTGATGCATCCCACTTCCTCCTTCCGCTCCAGCTTAAGCCTTACGCATGCAAATTCCATGCAAAGCAATTCTCAAGTTCTTGCTCAAAAATCAATGGCGTCAGCTCAGATGGGCGGCGCTCCGTGGAAATTGATGGCATTGGCTAACAAGCTCCAAAATCAATAGGGGATACTAAGCCACATCGCCTCCCAGTCCTAGAAGTACGAGAAGGCCCACCACGCTGCCCCCGTTCACATCAAGAGCCTCATCCACCACTGATGGCCCGATGCCAACACCAACGCCAACACCGACGTCGGCCACCTTCATCTACCTTACTAGGAATGCAACATCATCATCAAGAAGAAGATCCTAAACATTCTCCTCGGTGCTTCACCCTCGATCCAAGTCCTGGTCGCCGAAGCACTCATCATGATAGTCATTTCTGACTTCCTCACCAAGTGGAGGTCTATTCCCCCATCCATAGCCTCCCCACTTGGTGCTGCCCTTGGCGCAGAGGACGTCCCAAGAACCAACTCCCTCCTTGTCACCATGGGGTCACTCTTCTTGAGCTTTTGCAACACTTTCCACCAACAAGAACAGAAAGACCGCAACGCTTTCCACCAATAGGAATAGAAATACCTTGACTACTGTGTATATGAATTTGCTGATACCCTAATAGGGTAGCTGACTTTACTAGTTGGATCCTCATAGAACCTATGACCATGGTGTGCCCAATGTTTGAGTGCCTTCGACTTCGACTCTGCTTCCAAATCTTCCATTTCTTCAACTCCATCCACTTGCATGACAGATTCAAGGTAGTTCTTAACACATTGATGAAAGGTTTATATTCCATCCTTACAACCTCCTATCTACCTATAGATGGTGGCCTAGATTTACTCAGTGCTTCTATTTGTGATA